ACAAGTAGCCCAGCATTCAGAGAACGTAGAGTTCTAGAGGGGTAATATGGTACTATGAGCTCTTCAAGATATGAAGGGGCCTGACCATGAAGAGTTTTATAGGTGAGGAGGAGGATCTTGTTTTATCTGTTGTGCCTGTGCACTTTCTTTGTTTTACCGTGGGAGAGTGAGAAACGTACTCTCGATTCCTTTGTATGTCTGGTGCATGTGAAGTAATTGACATTAAAGCTGACTTTGACTTTTTGACTTTGACCACGGTGCTGCCGAGGCCGTAGATGCGGTCAAGAGGAGATTCTGGCAGGAGAGCTTGAACAGCGCGTCAGATGGATGGTGAGGCCCAGGAGGATCGCCACAGCGACCAAGGCCGCCACCCAGGTCCCCACCGACAGCTTCACCACTATCTAGCTGGTCATGATGGTGGTGTATCGCAGTGGGTTGCAGATCGCCATGTACCGATCAAAAACCATGATCATGAGTGCCGCGTGAGAGGTGCCTGCGTGAAAATGAACAGCGAAGGCCTGAATGGTGCAGTCTATATAGTGGATGTACCGCTCTGCGAATGGAGTGAAAGCGTTACTGAGCAGGTGGGGAATGACAGCCGTGGCCCCGAACGTGTCGTTAATACTCATGTTGCAGGAGAGCAGGTACATGGGCTCGTGGAGGCTCCTCTCCATGATTCATCGCATACGTGTGAAATAATGTGAAAAAATGTGGCACGTAGTGTTAAAGCGCTTTGAGTGGTCGGAAGACTAGAAAGGCGCTATACAACCATTTACCATCTAAAAATAATATTTTAAGTTTTAGCTTTATGAGAGTTTGTTTGGTTTCATTCAAACTGCAGCATGTTTCACTGTGACTGGAGGTGATCTGACTCAAATGATGTCTGTAGCTCTGCCTCCTGCACAGAAGCAATTCTCTGGCTAATAAAAGGTGGGAGATATTGATTCTTTATCGTTAAAAACTGATTTATTACGTAATAGTTACGTAATACTAATACTAATACTAATACTATTCTACTTCTGATCACCTCCAAACAATATGCCAAACATGGGGCACTTTTCACTGTAAAGGTACAGTAATTAAATGGCAGTAAAATCCTGTATTTTCTACAGTTTCTTACAGAATTTTAGAATTACAGTGTATTACAAGAAATCAAATTGCAGTTCATTTTTGTATTCTTGTATATTTACAACACAGTACTGGTCAGAGTTTTGTCAGTAAATGAATGTATTTAGTTTAATTAGTATGTACACACTGGCCCTTTAAATTAATGACTATGAAAGAGGAGCAAAGAACAAATCAGAAAAGAAAAATAAACAGGAAGTTAAAGTTTATTCAGGTCTAGTTTTGCTTGTGTTGCACTGTCACATATTTTTATTTTAATAAATATTAAAACTGCATAAGAAATATTTTCCCTTTGTAATTTCTTCATTATTCATTATTATTATTACAATGACAGTAACATTATTTAAATACAGTTTGCATACTGTAAATATACAGTAATTTACTGATAAAACTGTAACCACCAAAAGTCATTACTGCAGACACCCGTTTGTGTTCTTCATTGGCGTTTACATTTGCAGCATTTTTTAAATGTTTGCTTTTCCAACAATGTATGAAAGTTGCAATATTTTATACAAAGCACCCGGTACATACACACCCAATGACATTTCATTTTGCATTTGTTTTCCAGTTTTTCATTTCATTTTGTTCATCAATAGCAGATATTCAGTAGTTTTCTTTCTTCACAAAACAAAGCAGACAACATTCAGAGATTGTGAGAGTGTGTCAGGTTTAGCTCTGTTGATGTGAGCCTCCTCCAGCTAGACCAGAGGTGGACTGACAGACGCCTTTTATCGGCTGACTGAGGGGCCCCTGGGTGAAAAGGGTCCAGGTTTTGTTGCGTTGCTCAACAGTCACCAGCCAACTGTTGCTGTCAACCTGACATCCACATCACCGTGCATGTTGTTGTTCTTTATCTACATGTTGCATTCTGGATCTGATTCCAAGTTGGTAAAACAGCTGGACTCATTAAACTGAGCGTTCAATCACTCTCATCTACGAAAAACATTAAAGTCAATGGTAATGACAATGACAAATGACTTTGGAATTTAAAAGAGGTAATCCACCATTAAACATGTTGTTTGAGCTGTAAATTGGACTTGGAATTGGAATTATAGGACTACAGTGATGAAACAGTGCTGCTGTTAATACTGACATTATTAGCACATTTTTTATTAAATCCAAAGGTAAAAAATGTCTTAACTCACCCTGAATACTCAGTATGTTTATATTGTGGTGCAGTGGTTCGGACTTTAGATGCTGTAGAACCACCGAACTGCAATCTTTACCTTGATCCCACACAGACAGCCCCCCCACAGACACACACACATACTGGACAGTTAGCCTCTCTGAGCTGCTAGCTTAGCTACAAATAGGTAGCACACATAAACCTTTACAAACAGCGTTAATGTGCTTGACTGTAAGAGCTCCAGCAGACTCAGTGTTTCCAGCGCAGACACAGGGAGTCTAATTTTCTCATTAGCTCTGACTACCAGCTCACTGCGGTCGGTATGGAGGCCACATCCTCAAAAATCTCGGATCCAGGGGTCTGCATACCAATGTAGTTGCATTAAAACCATTTCCAACTCGTATCGGTAAATCTTTACACCACTGCTAAAAAGGAAAACTAAAGTAATGATTACAAAGATTCTGATTGACTGTGGCTTGAGTGACAAGAGACACTGATATTATCATGATGAAGAAAGACAGATGACTTCATTTCATGTATAAATATTGTTTCTTTATTACGTAACTCACTGTTGAAAGACAGTATCCCTTCTTTTCTTTGATCAATATATAGTAAACATACATCCATACTGTAATACTTTAGTATAAAGAGGTGTATAACTGTAGTAGAAACTGTTATCACTGGTGGATACATTCCCATAAAATATCTATAATAAGGAAATATTAACGCTTTCAGCAGTTTTTAGAATCCTTAGCATAAAATAGCATAAATATAAGCGGCTTTCACTCCCAGATGATTGAACTCTTAATAGAGACAGTTGCTAAAATACATATTAATATTTTCTGATTATGCTGTTTATATCAGCCAATAACACCCTCACGGATAACATAAGAAATGTGGGATACAGGATAAGGTCTTACATACAATTAGCGTGTGTTATTTTTGAATTTTAATTATTAGTCAGTATTGGAAGTAATTTTATTAAAAAGTTTTATTGTCAGTATTAGCATTAGTGAGAAAAAAAATTCTTAAGTCTTTTTTAATTTATGTGCACAAGATCCCTTTGTTTTGCTGTTAGATATCAAGTTATTATTTTATAGAATTATGAGCACACATACAATTAAAAAAATACCATATTCAGGACTCTGTTTGATCCATTGTTGGACATTAGTCAACAGTTTCCTTTGGGCCTTTTGGGAAGTCGTTTCCTAGGTGTGGTTTTAGATTGCAATGATTGACAGTGTATTTAACAGACAGAGTTTCTGGGTCTGTGAAGTGAAGCCAACGTTAAGTGTCTTAAACCTGCATTCTTTCTAACAGCCAGCAGGGGGGCAGACCCATGGGCTGCAAAAAAGACATAATATTTTTTGTATTCACTTATTTTCTTGAAGTAGATACAAATAAAAGCATTATAATGGTGTATATCTTAGGATTTTTCAATTTTAGTTTATATTTCAGTTTGTTAATCATGATAAACCCAAGTATGCATCCAAATAATTCTTAATGATCATTTAAAATAAGTGTAAATGTTTCATGTTTTTTTCTTCCTTGATAATTAATTATCTTTATTTTATTGTATTTGAGCTGTTTTGACTAATAGTTAGGACTAATATTTGCCGGGTAATGTAATAATTTGCTTTAGTTGAAGAAAACTAAGTCAATTCAACTTAAGTGGTAACATTTGTATAAAGAAGATGCATTTAAGTGACTTTATTCAGATAAATTCTGTGAACATATTTTAAATAAGTTTGGAGAAATGCTGCTTGAGTCTAACCTCAATTAACTGAATGGAATAAACTTAATTTAAGTTACCTTAACAATAAATACTGTTTAATCATCCTCATACAGTTTGAGTCACTAACTCATCAGGTTTTACAGTGCATTTAATTGTTGTTAGAGTTTTTTTTTTTAACATCCCAGATACAGTACATACAATATTTAGTGAACTATTATTGTTAACTTTTACCAGTGGCAGGTTTACCTCTGTTAACCTCTTCCAGCAGGACCAGAGGTGGACTGGCAGACTCTTTGTATAAGATGACTTGACGGGCCTTGATTCACAAAGCCGTGACCTCCACTGGAGGCCCCGAGGGCTACAGTCGCTTTACAGCCACAGAACTTTATAATTTTTTTAGGTTTAATTTAGTTGTTAAACTTCTACAAGGTACATTTTTGAGTTTTTAGTCAAACTCTGAATTAGTTAATGTATTTATTTATTTATTTATGTATTTATTCATTATACATATACATAACTCAATCAGTTAAATTAGAAAGAAAATTTCAATTCAATTGAAAGAAAATTTGAGAGGAAGTTCTGAAAATATGTGTCAGAAAAGTTGTTTGCTCGTCATCTTACAGACAGACTGACAGTATGAATTCAGACTTTTTACACATCAGCATCATAATTTAGTTATTTCAGCATCATTTTGATTCATTTATTGACATTAAATCGCAGCAAAATCTGTTTTATTTTTAGCTCACACTGCCATAGTCAACCAGATTAAAGGGCGAATATTTGCCTTGTGTTACTCGTGAGAAAATACAAATTATTAGAGTAACAGGAGGCAGATATTGGCTTTACGTTCGTGGGGACACACCGGTATTTGATTTGGTATCATTACTTCACCTCTGACACAGTCATTTTACTCCTGTTGTTCATTCCTCTGAGTATAATCTGAAGTTTTTCTCTGACCGCTTTGATTTGCAGTCCGTAGATAAGAGCGTTCATGGAAGGAGGAACCACATGGAACAAGATAGATGCCAGCTTCCTTTCGTCTGATAAGTTGGGGAAACGATGGAGGATGATGATGACGCAGCCTGACACGAGCAGGATGATGTACACAGCCAGGTGGGTGGCACAGGTCTGCAGCGCTTTGCTGTTCAGGACCTTGTTCTTACTGCTCAAACACACCATGGTGATCCTCAGGTAGGTTAGTGCTACGCTGCACAGGGACACCGCCATCATGCCCATGGCACTGACGAGGCCGTATATATGGTTGATGATGATGTTTTCACAGGAGAGCTTGAACAGGGAAGCGTTGTCGCAGAACGGGTTGAGCACAACCCGCCTGCAGCGCGACAAGCGGATACTGAGTCCTACGCTGACCGCAATCAAGAGGAAGGCCACCATCCACGCCGACACCGACAGCTTCACCACCATCCTGTTGGTCATGATGGTGGCATATCGCAGAGGGTTGCAGATCGCCACGTAGCGATCAAAAGCCATGATAATAAGCACAGTGTGTGAGGTGCCCCCGTGAAAGTGAGCACAGAAGGCCTGAATGACGCACTCGTAATAATGGATGAACCGCTGCGTCACTGGAACAAAAACATCACTCAGCAAGGGAGGAATGACGGCCGTGGCCCCGAATGCATCGTTAATACTCATGTTACAGAAGAGCAGGTACATGGGCTCGTGGAGGCTCCTGTTCGTGAAGATCAGGACCACCAGGCCGATGTTGGACACCATGATGAAGATGTAGATGAGGAGGAGAAGGATGAAGGCAGGAATGGAGGACTTGGGATTGACTATTAACCCCTCCAGCTGCAGAACATCCATATTGTATGTTTCGTTCTCCATACTGCAGGTTGTGAAGGACATCTAGAGATAGATATGACCATTGAGATTTCAGTAGACTACAGTAAAGGAACGTAGATAAGAGGTAGTTATAGATGACTAGATAGATAGAATAGACTATTATTTATTGATCCAAGCTGGGAAATTGCAGATGTAGCAACCCTTAAACACCCACAGTAAACCGAACCCAATAAAACAACACAATAAGTAAGGAGAACAACCTAGACATATATATAAAAAAAGCAATATAAAATGCAAAATAAAAAATGTATGTCTAAATTAGAGCTGCAACTGCATCATTTCAAAATGATATTAATTGTAAAAGTTATTACTTATTTATGAATGAAAAATGAATGCTGTGTGCCATCTTAATTTATTGTGAGCCAGTGGAATACATACTGATACTTACACATCTTAACAAATGTCACAAGTTTTCCCTTTATTATGACACAAAAAATATTCAAATAGACCTTGTAGTTGCAGAGATACTCTATTCATTTTGGGTATGTCATTTTCAAGGCCTTAAAAAGAGGCTGGGGTTACTAGAGTTTTCCTCTAACTTTAATTTGTAACATTAATCTGGCCATTGTTTAGTTCCAATAAGGTAGTAAGTTTTTTTATTTTACATTATATTGTTCTTTAGAAAGTTCTTTCTTGCATGTACAATTAACATAGCCGTGCATGTATTGTCAACCACAACAACAAATGTAAATTTGATCATTTATAAGCTGTATGCATTTAGATATAAGTTTGCTCCAGGTCTGGAAAAAATAGAAGGGAGGCCTCTGGTAAACCTGCTTTGAAGTGTCATCCTACCAGCAGTCGAGTTTCAAGCACAAAACGCACCCAGGTTTATGTAATCTGAGTGAGAAGCTAAAATATAATTCAAACTTTCCAGGACAATGTAGATTATTACCAGGATATCTGCTCATTTTGATCAATGTTAAAACTGAAAAATAGTCTCTAAATTTCCAGGTTTTCCAGGACTTGTGGGAAATAAGATAATGTGAATCGTGTATACAAAGCGACTCAATATCTAAAAATACAGTGAACAGCAGAACAACATTAGACTGTATGAGTGTATCGTTCAGAGATTGTGAGAGTGTGTCAGGTTTACCTCTGTTGACGTGAACCTCCTCCAGCCGGACCAGAGGTCGACTGGCAGACGTTTTTTATAAGTTGACTGAACGGTCCTCGGTACTCCAGTCAGGTCTGTTTTTTGTCTTCTTGGCTCCCTAAAGGTCCTTGCATCCCTGAAGGCCTCGATCTCTAAATGACCAATTAACTGGATGTCTTTGTTTCATTTAACCTCTCATTTCTCTTAACTTATGTCTGCTGTCACCAGGAGTTGATCATTTTCCAGATTTGATGTTTGGATGGAACAAACAGTAAGAAAAATTCCCCCTGTGACTGTTATACCATTATATATTGTATAATTAGACAATTATTTTATTTTGAGCATATTTGCATGAATGACAGTAGTTCTTATTCCAAACTGACTGACGCAGGATTTAATACCATACTTTTTTATTTTTTTATTTAACAATATATTTATTGTTTTGCACAGAAAATATACAGTCACAGGGACAGTAACGTTATGAACACGCCCCCTCTCCCCACCCTCAACAGTATAAACAACAAAAAGTGGAAATGAAAATGAAATACAAAATCAATAGTGGTCCTGTTTATTTATAAGAGGCATGCCAGCTTCCACAAGCGCCGCCGTTCAAATTTAATCATTAATTTCAGTCTGGTCACTTTCCAGGAACTGCATAAAAGTATCCCATATCTCTGTGAACTTATTTAGTTTCCCTTTAGCAACATAAGTTAATTTCTCCAGTGCCAAGCATGACGCCATTTCCCGTAACCATATTCCAAGTGTAGGGTGTCCATACTTTTCCACCTCAATGCAATCACTCTCCTAGCGTGAAGCAAGGATAGATCAATCATGGGTGCAGTTTTGCGGCCCAGTGCAAAGTGATCAGGGTAAATACCTAATATACAGAGCTTTGCCTCAAGTGGAACCACCATATTAATCACATGTGAAATCATGTAGGTTACATCTTTCCAAAATGACTGTTTTTTTGGCATTCCCACATGCAGTGCAGCAGAGTGCCAACACTATCACTACATTTAGTACAGCTGTCAGTAATGCTGGGGGTTGTAGCGATGTAGCTTTACAGGTGTCACATAAGTTCTGAATAGCCACTTGTATTGTATGAGTTTTAGTGCTGTGTTTATAGTCTTTGTGCCTTTAGACAAGCATTTTCCCACTCATTTTCTGTAATATTTATTTCTAAGTCGTCTCTCTATGCATTGAGTCTACAGTGGGAAATGTCCTTCGATTTGGATTGTAACATACCATACAATACTGACAGCTGACCCCGAGCATCCTTATTTCTTACAATAAACTTCTCTAAAGCTGACATGGGAGGTCTATCCAGGGAATGAGCCTGCAATTTTATGAAACTCCTTAATTGCAAGTATTTAAAGAAATGATTTCTAGGTATGTCATATTTACAAACCAATTGATCAAAGGTCATTAGATTCCCGTCTATGTATAGGTCAATTATTTTACATAAACCTCTTTTAGCCCATTTGTTTAAATCCCACCCATCCGCTCTACCAGGTACAAAATTATCTTACGGGACCATATTGGGCGCAGAACATGAGAGAGCTTGGGTGCCATCCCCTGTATAGCGTGCCCCTCATCGCCAAAAAAGAGGAAGGGTATTATTTTACCAAATTGGTTTTTTTGTCTGCCCCTCCTTAAGTTTTCTTTAACATGAAGTAAGAATAGCAAAATATGACCTGGAAGAGGTCAGACTTGTTTAGTACGTTCAAGTACGTTCAACTAGTTATACATTGCGGGATAGGACGAAATACATTGCTGCCACAGGATGCATTTCACTACCATTGCATTCGAGAGAGGATAGATACCACACCTTTTCATTAAGGAATGATACAATAGGCGATGCCGTAGTCTTGACGCTTTGCTCACATATACAAATTTGAGAACAGGTTTTCTGAGTTCTACAAAAAAAGGTTCGTGAAAGTGGGGGAAGAGGAGTAGATTGAAATAAATATGAGGAATCTTGGGGCAAATTGACATTTTAAGGACAATTAATGACGGCCTAACAGTAGGAGAAATGGCGAGGAGAGAGAGATTCATACACGGACCTGTACTCATAAGGATTATGGGAGATTAGAAGGCCCGGACAATACTCGTCTCAATTTTTCTCCACGAATCAATCTGCAGCCCACGCTATCGTAACAACCTTTTGAGAAAGCTGGGAAGGGTGATCAATTGTGGCTTGTCTTCCTCATTCTTCATTCAAAACAAAATGGCTGGATCTTTGGAGTTGTCTAACTTAATACGCATCACAGGAGAATTTCCCAAAAAGATTCTATTAGACTTCACTATGTTGATCAAACGACCGAAATTGCCACGATTGGACAAATAAAATAGACAATATCATCAGGAACCACAGACAGTGAAACATCTTTATGCTCACGTTTTTCCACATTTTTCACCTAGAATTGCTAGCTGCTCGGGATGGCAGGCTAGTGGCTCAATACAACACCCACAAAACACAGAGAGGGGGCACAGGGGGAGCCCGCGCGTGCTTCTGGGCGCGTGTAGTCTAAATGGTCTAGGGATAGCGCGGGGGCGTCTGCTTCGCTTCGGTTTCAAATGGTCCAGCTGTTGGATTTGTATATAGCAGCTTCAACCATTTAAGAAAAACTGTCGCCCAATCCAAATCTTGCAAGAACCTCCGTCAGGTATTTCCATTCAATCCTGTCAAAGGCCTTTTCGGCATCCAGTGTCAGGATTGCATTATCTTTAGCATCACGCTTTTCATATAGTATATTTAATAATCTGGGTTATTATGAAATGCTTGGCATCCTAGAACAAAACCATTCTGGTCATTGGGGATCAGGGATGGAACATACTTCTCTAGCCTCCTTGCTAGGGCTTTACAGAGTATTTTTGTGTCGCAGCACATTAGGGATAGAGGACGATAAGATCCCTTTTCTGTAGGTGGTTTACCAGGCTTTGGGACCAGGGTGATGAGTGCAGTTCGTAGGGATGGGGGTAGGATTCCTGACTCATATGCTTCCCCCTACATTTCTAGCAGAGGGGGAAGCAATTTATCTGGGAACAATTGATAGATTTCTATAGGGATCCCATCAGGACCTGAGGTCTTTCCAATTTTCATATTACGCACAGCTTCTGACATTTCATCAACCGTGTTTGTCCAGTTTAGTCTTATCATGATCTGTCATAGTTGGAATGCCAGTTTGTCCAAAAATTCAGACTGTAACTGCGTGTCATCTGGGTATTCTGATTGATAAAGGGATTCATAAAATGTTCTAAAGGAGAAGTTAATTTCAACTGGATCCACTGTATGGTCTCCATTTTCTAGTTGAATTGAGTTTATAGCTCTATGAGATTGCATTTTTTTAATTCTCCATGCAAGAAGCTTGCCAGCCTTATCTCCTTGGTCATAATAAGATTGTTTCAGCCAAAGAAGATTTGCAGCAATTTTACTAGTAGAGAGTTCTTTATATCTAGTTCTCAACAAAAGGAGCTCCTTATGTTTCTCTGGACTATCATTTTGGTATAGGTCTAGCTCCAGAGCTTTAATCTGGGCCTCAAGGTTGATTAGATTTCTATAGTGGGACTTTGACTTATAACTTGTATAGCTTATCATCATACCTCTAATATAGACTTTAAATGCCCCCCATCGTGTGCCCGCACTAGTCTGATCTGTGTTCATACAAAAGTAGTTATCTATATTATCACGAAGAAATTTGACAAATTTGGGGTCTTGAAGCCACTTTGTTTGGAGGCGCCACCTGGGAGGACACCTGACAAGCCCTGGTATATAAAGAGTAAGTGATATAGGAGCATGATCAGACAATACTATGCTGCCATAAGCACATTCATTCACATGAGGTAGTACACTCATGGAGATCAGAAAGTAATCAATACATGATGAAGTTTTAAAAGTATTTGAGTAACATGAAAACTCCTTTTTGTTAGAATGAAGCTTCCTCCAGACCTCAATTAGATTAAGATCATTTATAGACTGGAGCAAAACCTTTCTGGCGTGCGAATGAGAAGCATTAACCCCTGTGGAGCAGTCCTTCAGTGGATCCAGTACACAGTTACAGTCAAAACCAATTATATATTGTCCAGGAGTAGAGGATATAGTGAGGAATACATTTCTAAAAAAGGTGGGATTGTCCACATTAGGTCCATAGACATTTACTAGAGTAATTTGGGACGCCAATATTGTTCCTTGTAAAATAATATACCTGCCTGCCGGGTCAATTACTTCATGGCTGAGCCTAAATGGGATTGATTTATGAATTAAATAATAACAGGCCATCTTTTTTTAACTTTAGTCATATCAGTCAAATGTGATTCCTGCAGGAAAATAATTTGGGATTTAAGTAATCTAATTCTGCCTAATAATTGTTTTACTTTAACAAGCTCAAATCCTCTTACATTCCAGGATGTGATCTTAATCTCTGATTTACCTACCATTAAGCAAAAAAGTAACTATGCAGCAGGGCACCACATGAAAACCAACACTGCCTCTCTTTTTATCAAAGAGGAAAACAATAAATATAAACACGAAGAAAAAAAAAACAGTAACCACATGTATACAGTAAGCAAAAAACCCTGAGAACCCTTATGCATTTCCCCAACTGAAATACATAATTGTAACCCCTTAGGTAACTACAGACTGCAGTTATTTTAGACACCTGGTCCTCATAGTGAGGAGCAGTGTGGCGTAACAACTTTATGGGTCCCATTTCTCCGAGGGCTCCAGCAAACTATTAAATAATCAGACCATTTGAACATTTCTGAGAACATGAAATGGATCTTGCCTCTTGGCATGGCAACATGTGTATACTGTTATCAAATAATGAGATGACAAAGTAAAAAAAAAAGTACCCAGCCGGGTAGAACATGCCATAGCGAAGACCCATGGATTGTAGCTGCCTTTTCACTGCATCGATGAGCCGCTGCTGCCGGTGAGTTTCCACTGAATAGTCTGGGTAGAATCGGACGCTGTAGTTTCCAAACTGCACGTCTCCCAGTCTTCGGGCTGCTCGCATAACTTTTTCTTTTTCTCTATAGTTGTGGAATCTCATAATTACCGCTCTTGGTTTTGAATCCTGGCCAGCAATAAGTCGTCCTATCCTGTGCGCTCTCTCGATGACGGGGGACTGGGAAAGGTGTCCGTGCCAAGAGCTTTGGGTAGCCATCCTTCTAAAAAAGCACACGTCTTGGCCCTCAGCTTTTTCAGGGAGGCCGATAACTCTTAAATTGATGCGACGTCCTCTATTTTCCTGCTCTTCTACTCCCGTTTCCAGCATGGCACATTTCTCTTTCAGCTTTTTAATAGTGTTGTGCATAGCGTGTAGATCGTCCTCAGCCCTCCCAATTCTGTCTGCGGTTTCTGTTATCCTGTTAGCTTGGCTTTGTAATTGGCTCTTGAGTCCACTTATCCCGGCCAACTTCGAATTTATCTGAGAAGTCCTTTTTCATCGATCATATGGCGCTGAGGACCTCAGTGCCGAGCCCATCTGCTGTCGCCTCTGCCACCTTCTCCTCTTTGCTGGCAGCAGGCGGGCTAGCAGTAGCTTGCGAAGTAGCTGGTGTTTTCGATGTTGCTGAGCTTTGCTGAGCTGTTTTCTGAGACTTCCCAACCATTGTATTGTCTGGTGTTCTATTGTTTCAAGTATATGTGAAGTTTAAACTGTTTGGGGTCTCGTGAATAATTAGTTAGCTTAGGAGCCTCACCAAGACTAGCACCACACCATAACCGGAAGTCTTTAATACCAGATTTAACAGGTAAATCTAGGGGTTTTATCAATTCTGGTTCATCTAAATCAGCCATCTCTGTGAACTCTGTGTGTATTATCAATTAAAATCAGCTGAGAAACATTCAAGTCACCCTGAGTGTTGAGAAATGAAATTTATTTTAAAAAAGTAAGAAAAAGGAAATTCACAACATCACTTTTTAATTACATTTCAAGTGCCAACTATTATATTAACAATGATTTACATTTAATTCAGTATTGAGTCATTTCACCTGTGCCACAGTCGTCCTTTTCCTGGTAAACATGATGAATACTTTTTGTCTGACAACTTTGATTTGCAGTCCGTAGATAATAGCATTCATAGCAGGAGGGACCACATGGAACAAGATGGATGCCAGTTTCCTGTAATCGGATAAGTTTGGGAATCGATGGAGAATGATGTTGATTAAGCAAACATGATGATGTACACAGCCAGGTGGGTGGCACAGGTCTGCAGGGCTTTGTTGGTTCAGGACCTTGTTCTTATTGAGCACACACACTGCGGCGATCTTTAGGTAGGTGAGCGTTACGCTAGCCAATGGAGGAGCCCAGAAGGACCACTGTGTATCCGAGGCCGTAGATGTTATTGATGAGGACGCTTTCACAGGACAGTTGAACAAGGAGGCGTTGTCACAGAACGGGTTGAATATAATCCACCTGCAGCGCGACAGGCGGACACTGAGGCCAATGAGGATCAACACCATCAACAAAGCCACCATCCACGCCGACACCGACAGCTTCACCACCATC